CCCCAAAACCCCAAAACCCCAAAACCCCAAAACCCCAGATTTTTATTATAATATTGAGAATAAAATGAAGAATATATACGAAAGAAACTTAAACAGTCCAACAAGTGGGATGAGTTCACCTCATGGAATAATTTCAGGTATTTATTCTCGTTTCTCATCTCATTCTTCAGAGAGCCAGAAATCCTTGAAAAAGCCTGAATTTAAATTTGACGTACAGCAGCACAATAGAAGAACTTCAATGTACAATTTAAACTAATTTAGTAGAGTGCTAAAGAAGGAACAGGAGAAGAAAATTATAATTGTAAAGAAGGAAAGCCCTAAAAATATTGATTCACATTTCATCAAAGGTCTATCCAAATTCAGGGACCTCCAGTTCAGCACAGAAAATACCTTCCAAACTGCTAATAAGACTGTCAGGAATCACAAATAGAGACCTTCCCTCTTTAAAGGCTAAAATTAGAAATAAGAAGTTAGCCCAAAATGGGTCCAGGAGGTTTCTAAAAATCTGTAGTTCTTCAAGAAATACAGAGTTGTTTACCAAATTAAGAGAGAAGATTATAAAGGAAAGTAAAAAGAGAGCTCAGAACCACAAGCTTCGGCAAAATCAACCCAAAGGCAAGAATGTGCCTGTTATTATATAAATTTGGAACAGGAAAGTCTGAATACAGAAAGTATCAACTTCTATTAAATTTTAGGAATAACGGCTTCCCAAAGTGGGGTCATGAAAGTATCAGCTCTGTCCACTAATCGCAGTCTAAAACCAGAGATAATAGATATGAAAGCCGACAAAAGTAATATTTTGGCATTAATATTAGGAAGAAGGAGTAATGCATTACCTGATAGATTTACTAAGAACCCCAGAAAATCCCTAAGACTTAAGTTTCTTGGAGGAAATCAGAAGATGATTCAGTAAGTTTTCAACAACTTTACATCTTATTAATTAAGAATCAACAAATCTTGAATTCTAATCTAATCCAAGATAAACTTTAATGTCTCCATAGATCAAAAAGAGCTTCAAAAAGTCAGCATGCTGGCGCATCTTCGAGGACAATGAAAAGATTTGGCGACCTTCCTTTATTCCCTCAGCAGCCGACTGCTGCACAATACAAGGCTCATCCTTTTATGATGTCTCGCACTAGAAAGGTAAGCTGGCCCATAATCACTATAGGCGATGCTTCCATCTAGGAAGAATAGAACAAAGGGAAGCATAAATAGAGAAAATATCCGGAATAGTTTGAAGATATTTAACATGAGGGATATTCCAAACACAAGACAGTCTGATGCTTCAAGAACTTTATCCCAATGCAATAAGTTCTTTACAGCAGACAGAGAAGCCACTCTTGAAGGGTTTGAAGAAGCTGCTTTCAGTAATCTTCAAAAATTTGATTATATAGGAAACCAATTTAACCAGGGAGCAGACCTTGGTTCCTTTGAAATATCGAAGGAAAACGATGTCTATCTTCAACAAAGTTTTGGGTTCCAGCTTTAAGTTTCAACAGGAGGAAATATTTAGGGGTTTTGGGGTTTTGGGGTTTTGGGGTTTTGGGG